AGCTGCAAATGTTGCGAACTTAGAAAAGCTCTAACACAAGCGACCGGACTTACATCATGACGCGGACATAGAACCAAGCTAGGGGAGGTACCGCAAGAAGCTATAAAGCAAAATCAGTTTAAGTAATTGCAGACGATGACGATGATACTGACGAATAGGGGGAAGCTCCATCCAATGACGAAGATAATCATCGCAGTCGTGCACAGCGTCCGAACGACATTTTGAATGACCTTATAATAGATAATCAGTATCTACTAGGAAATGATACCACAAAAGGCACGTACTCTTGCAAGAATCTGATCCACAACATAGGTATCTCGCGAGAACAGGTTGAGAATGCTGTGTATGCCCACTTAATCATGGTGTTAGGCTAGCTTCAAATATGTCTTACCGTCCAGTAGGCGTGGTTTCAAAGAATGTCATGGGTGCACGTATCACAGCGTGCAACATCTACATAAATGTACAATTCTGTCAACCCTTGGCGGAGAACAAAGTCGCCGGACTTACCGAATCATGTAGCCTCTTTGCGCTCCTCAGAGAGCAGTACACCCAAATCAGAATAGCCGCAGCGGCCCCCAAGAGCGTAGATGACAGCGAAAACAGACCGTAACCTATAAGGTACTTCCCTACCCCGCGATTGGAACCTTCTGCGCGATTGTGTTCGCCCCATGCGCGTAGTGTGTTGTTCGCCAAGAGGTTCACCACCTGCGAGAGCACCGTCGCAAGCACGAACAGGGCGAAGCCCATCTTCGATGCAGCCTCGACGTATTGCATGTAAACGTCGCGCTTCACACGGCCTTGCTCGCTATGCTCTTTAGTTTGACCACCGTCTCCGCTGCCAGAGCTCGAGGTAGACCTGCCGCGTGATGAGGACGAGTCGACGAGGACCGCTTTCGTGAAGCTGCGTTTGCGCTGAAGCTGGAGCTTCTCGGTGAATGTGTCGATGTTCTGTTCGTTTAATTCGTGCGATGAGTTATTGATGGCCGTGGCAGATGTGGTCGCCTCGGAGGAGGGTGTCGAAGAATTGAGCTCGTTCAAGAAGGGTGTGGAGACGCCAGATGTGGACAGAGACCCGTGTCCCTTACTATACGGTCGCACAGTTAGCTATTCATCTGTGAGGGATCTAGACGCTGTTCACTCACATCAACTTGTACAACTGAGACTCGGTGTTGGTTGTAAGTTCTTCGTATGAACCCTGTTCGACGATGATTCCACGTCGCAGATAAAGCAACTTGTCGAAGTGCTTCAAAAAGGCGATACTGTTTGTAACAACGATGCGAGCCTTTGTAGATAGCAAACCATACGGACCGATGACATTGTCTGTACAATAGTCAGAAGAAGCGTATTTAGGTGAATGAATCACGAACCGAAAACATGCCTGGCGACGTGAGAGTCGACTGCGGCCAATACGTCGTCTAGTATTACACTAAAATCGATTGGTCAATAGAACATACGAATGTGCATAGAGGACTAGAACGCATACAGGTCTGCTCTGGCATATACAGCGCGAGCTAGTGAAATGCGAGCTCGTTGTCCGCCGCTGAGCTGTGTTTACTGGTCAGCATTTACAACTGGGCTCATCTGAGACTACACTTACGGTTATACCTAGAGAAGCAATGATTCATCGCTCAGTCGCGTGCTCTACAACGTGGAACCGTATACACATACCCTTCTCACCAACCTCCGTCATATCTCCCTGTGGCATCAACGCAAGATCTGGTCTCAAAGCACAAGCTAACAAAAGACCTCTTGTTAGTACGAGCAACATGACGGCATGGAACCTGGAAAGCTTGCCATCAAGCACAAGGTTGTAGAACGTCTCGTCGAACTCGTAGTTGAACACAATGTTGTCCTTTACTGTTGCGCTCATGATCCTATGATATACGTTAATGATATTCTAAGACTTAAAGTGCAGATAATACTTGCCATGGATTCTGTGGTGCATACGAGATGCAACCAGACAACATCACTTCGCCGTCAAGCCGCCGCATTTCACCCACTATTGCTGACACCAAACTAGTCTGCAAAACACAATGACCGGTGAATTAGCCCGAAGGACGTGGATGCATAAGCTTGTCCGACTAACCTTGCCAGCGCCGACCCGACCCATCACGCCAACAAGTTCGCCCTTCTTTACCGTGAGATTGACGTCCTCAAGCGTAGGAGAAGTTGCCGTCTGGGACCACGCAAACTCGCCGTTCGTGATAGACAATACCTGATCTCCAGTCTCAAGATTCGGCTTAGTCTTCGAAATATATCGGGCATCGACTTGGAGTTCGTCTGCGGCAAGGAAGGCTGAAAGTCGGTTGACAGATACCAGCGCTTCGATGACGTTGGACGTCACTTGAGCGAACTGTTGTACAACTGTCAGGCTGGGAATGGTAAATTTCCAAACCGCGAAACGTACCATAGCAAGCGGGAATTGGAGCAACATGAACAACGACATAGCGGGGAAAATACGATCGGCAGTAAGGGGTTTATCCGATGTTATTGCTGCTACAGCGAAAGAGCTGAATGCGACAAGAACTGCATGGGATGAGAACGCAAACATGAAGTTCACGAGGAGGAGTGCGTACGTGGTATACCAGTCCAGAGCGACGTGTTGAGACTGGTTGCAATACCAATCTTGCGCAACATGCGTATCTCTTGGTCATTTCGAACCGCGAGGATCCTGCGCATGAAGGCATTCTCCCAGGCGTAGAGCTTGATGCTATAGAGAACGCGCGGGTCACTGACTGACGTTCACAAAAGAGCATAGCATGGGCTGACCTTCTGATATTCGCCAGCAACTCACTCATGAGACGTGTTCTCTTGTCCCTGTTCTTCATCTGTGTCTCTTGCATCTTTTTCAAGAACCTCGCTATAAAAGTGTTCAAGGGGATGCTGAAAATCATGATTGCGACGCCGACGAAGGCCGGCCAACCAAGAATTTGATATAGCGAGACGAAAGCTAGCGTAATCTGGAATGTGAGCGTGGCAGTGAGTTACTTTGCACGTCCGTCTGGGAAAGCTGTTAGGCATACCTGGAATGGACCAGAAATCGCGATCAGTCCGTAGGTGCAGAAGTCTTGAAGTCGCATTGCATCCACCGACATGAGGTTGACGATGTCGCCCGAAGCGCTACCGCGTCCGTCGTTCGAGAGCACTAAAGCCTTCCGATAGATGACACCCACGAGGCCCGCACGTACGCGCATTCCCGTTTCAAAGCAGTGTTGGAAGTATTGGTGCAGAATGACAGTCTGGGTCAACGAGGCAATGAACATAAGCAGTGCTATTGCGAAACCTTCAAGAGCGTTTGGTGCGCCAGGGGAGGCAGGCGAGGATGAAGGTCTTGCTGACTGATATCGCGATATGAAGGAGAGCAGCAAGCGCAGAAGCTGAGGTTGGAGAAATGCCAGCATATCCTGGAAGACTTTGAGAAGCGCTGCAAAGGCGTATGGCCCGCCATAAGCAGAGCAAAGCGCGACGGTTAAGTTTTTACTAGACAGGTCAGCTATAGCTGTATGGGCGTAAGTATAAAGCTCACTGTTTTGTCATCGACGCTTGCAGACGTCTGGCCAGATTGACGGACTCATCCTGGGGAACTAGTGACGGCAGGTCATCTTCTGTGATAAAGGCTTTGGCACCTTTCTTCATCAATGAAGACATCCATGAAAAGGTCCAAATGCTGAATATATTGGCCGTAAGGAGAGGACTTTCGACATGGTCGGCACCTTTGTGAAGAGTATCAGGTCGATCATCCTCAGAGAACTCCGGGCCAAGACATTCAAGAGCGAATGCGGCAAAACCAAAGAGTAGAAGTGCAGCTTGCAATACTAGCACAATCCGATACGTCGAGAAACCCGAAAGTACCAAAGTGCGCGACCATACAAGTATGCCCGCTGCGTACGCCGGCCAGAAGAGTAGGATCAGGGCCGAAGAGGTTCGAGCGCGGTAATGGTTGCGGTAGACGAGTATTGGCGCGACGAAGAGTGCGATGATCTGAAGTAGGTAAAATTGCAACACTGCAATAGGCCTCCTAGTTACTAGGATAATGACAAGCACCGCGATACTGGTGGCAAAAGCCAACGTCGATAGAACCTAACCCAAATGCAAGTTTTGAGTGACTGCGTGGGAGCAAGACGGAAGTGGTACGCACCAGTTTCGAACGGAGAACGAAAATACTCTTCGAGCATCTCGGAAAGGGGTCGAAATGACGTAGAGTATAGCATCTAAAGACAGCGAGGACTATGAATATGACGAGGATGGTTGATAGGACGACCCCTTGTTCGAAACATGGCGTCAGGTCGAAGGGGCGAAGGCGAGAGACCGGGCCCCAGGCCTCAAAAGAATCCCGACAGAGATCCGCGCTAGCCCACATGTTGGTGGTGATGCAGCTGATGCTGCGCTAGTCGATTGTCGTGGGGAGCAAGCACGATGAGCTCGACATAGATGGCGCAAGCGAGCTCATCCTCTTATGGCACTCGAAAACCGGATTACTCAGCAGCTGTTCCCACCGCGAAGGCCGACGCGTACGTGTTCGCGGCGTTATTTGCCAGCTGTAATCCCCGGTAGTATCGCTGAATATTCGAACGCGCACACCATGAGGTCGTAGCATAGCCAGGTTAGTTGAAACAGGCAGCGATGCATCAGCGACTCGGAAGAACTCCTTGGGCGCTTACGAAGTCAGCTCAAGGGTCGACTCTGTTGCATATCTGTTTCGTTAGCCAAAATGTCTCTCGTGCAATAGAGTGAGCCTTCAAGTTTTGTGTTGGATTGAACTACCCACATTGTTTTGTACTACATGAGTACCTTGAATACTCAGAAAACACGCATTTCGTCACTCGTGTCTAAGCTACAAAGGTCTAGATTATAGAAGTCTTATAGTTTTATTTGTGTGGTGTGCTGAGTAAGAAACAAAATTTTTACAGGATCACAATTATCATACTTTGGGGCTGTCAGATCATAGATGAGAGTTTCAAAAGTAAAATTTAATTGGACGGAGATCAAAAAACCAAAAAGGGCTCAACCGGGAATTGAACCCGGGACCTCCTGCATATTCAGTTCGAAACGAACCGGGAACAACCCGAAGCAGGAATCATACTACTAGACCATTGAGCCGTGCTTTGTACAGTGCACAATAATTATATAGCCACTCATTGCATCGAAGAGAAAGTTTGCCAGAGGCGAAGGTTGTGTGCTCACCTCAAGCTCACCTCCTGGCCTACTCCCATGGCTCCCCGGTCTAGTCTCCCGACGTCCTCGAAGAAGCGCAAGAAAGATGGTACAAATGTTGCAGAGGAGTCAGCAGCATCTATCCAGTCGCTAGAGGAGCAACTCATTACCGCCGTCTCCGCTAAATCTTCGCTAAATGGACTGTCAGACCTCCTTGATATTGCGCAGACTACCACAGATCCACAGGTGCTCTCCAAGGCCGTATACGCTCTTTACCGGGTATTTGTCGTGGTCATTACGAACAACTTGTTGCTTAACGTGTCGGGAAACGATGAAGCACGTACAGTCCGGGATTGGATCCAGGGGAGGCTTCGCGCGTATGTCGAGCTGCTCACAGGGCTATTGAAGGATGAAGAGTCCATCCTAAAAGTGCGTACTACTCAATCTTACGCGTTACTAGTACTCACGAAATGTACTGTAGACCTCTGCGCTTAACATCCTCTTTTCTCTACAAAAACACCTTTCGACGTCTCTAAGCAGAGCACCCGGAACCAGCAGCGTTGCACGTCCTCAGTTCCATTTATCGCATTTTAGGCAAATAGTACAAGGCCTCCTCGTATGTCCGCCGTCCCCACGGCTGAATGAGCAGGCAAAGCGTCGTAAAGGAGCAGCTGGACCAGAAGACGGGAAGCTTGACCATGAAGTCAGGGACCTGTTCATCGACAAATGGCTCAGTGAATGCGACGATATCCGGTGGTTTTTCTTGAGAGAAGCAGCGTGCGTCGTCATTCCATTGCTTGAAGTCAGGTCGACTCATAGTCACCTAGCGGCCTGCTCGCCACCTACTCACGAGAACAGCACCCGCATGTGCCAGAAAATCTACTGTCCCTCTTGGAACGTATAACAACGTTCCCTACAGAGGTCTCCGAGCTGAATACATGGTGGGTTGAAGAGCTTGGCGCTCGTCCTCCGAAAGCAAAATCTGCTGCCGGCAAGAACGACGTCGACGACGAGGATGAGAAGGATAACGAAGACGAGGCCAATGTGGATGCTGAAGACGACTGGCGAAAATTCTTCGACGACCAGAACGCGTCTATCGACAATGGATCTGCAGAAGGGAAACAGTCCGGTGCTCGGCTGTATAAGCTCACCATACACCAGTCATTACACTCCCTTCCGTCACACAAAGAGGTCTTCACGCGTACCTGGCTCGCGCTTCTTCCATTATTGTCCCTCGGTGCATCAGAGTCGAAGCGAGCATTGGTCACCCGCGCTCTGAACGTTATGCACAGAGGTGTACTTCCGCATCTTACACGGCCCATACTCGTTATGGACTGGGTTGGTTCCTGCGTAGACTTCGGTATGCATCTCACATCGCATCATCATTACCTGACTGATTGGTGGTTGTAGGTGGAACAGTCGGCTTGCTCGCTCTAAACGCTCTGTTCATATTGATGAAGGAGTACAATCTGTAAGTAAACGCCGTGCTCGGTCATATCGTGCCTTCGCCTCACAGCCGCGTGACAGGGACTACCCACAATTCTATACCCGCCTTTATGCATTCCTAGATCGCAACGTACTACATCTGAAGCACCGAGCAAGGTTCTTTCGTCTTACGGAGTTGTTCCTCAGCTCTACGTAAGCCCCATCCTCACGAATCAGCATGACGAGCGACTAATACTCTCTTAGGATGTTACCTGCAGCCCTTCTAGCTTCATTTGTGAAGCGGCTTGCGCGATTGTCGCTGAATGCACCCCCTGCTGCAATCGTGATGATCATACCCTTCACGTACAACATACTGAAGAAGCATCCAGCCTTGATGGTCATGATCCATCGCGTAGATGACTCATTCGACGCCGCTACCGGTGAGAAACTCATTCGCATCACATGCGAGGAAACCCCGTTGAACGAAAGAAATTCGTAGATCCATTCAAAGACAACGAGCCCAATCCCACGTTGACAAACGCCATCGACTCGTCCCTTTGGGAACTGTACTCGCAAAAAAGCCATTATCACGCCCCCGCCTCCACTTTGGCACGCATCTTCGAAGAGCCATTCACCAAACCCAATTATTCCCTCGAAGACTTCCTTGATCACACGTATAGCACTGTAAGCTGCCACAATGTCCCAAATGACGTCAATACTAACAATACGGGTTCGCAATCAGTTGTATGATACAGAGGTCAAACGAAGGATCAAGAAAGAGCCTGCCATGGCTATGGATGTGTCGTCAAAAACATGGTTCCCGACACCAGCGTCCGAAGAGGAGCTGGACGGCGATAAAATCACGAGTCTATGGACTTTTTCATAGACGTATCTACAAGCACATTGAAGTTAGTGATACAGCTTATCTACAACTACAGATGCTCGAACGAAAGTGCACATGACTGCTACAGCACGACCTCTGCGGAATACGGTTACAAGGGTATGAGATCGAGCACATTTTGGGGACAAGATGAGTTTGCTTGGAACAAGAAGTAAGCTAAGAGAGAAGTGAGCTTCCTGAAGAAAACCATGTTGAAGACGGGACTCACGCTGAACGAGCATGTTCGCTTTTACCAGGGCCGTTGAATTGAAATGCTTTCATAGTCTGCGTCGGTTTCGTCTGTTATTATTCCCGCCGCGGTTCGGCTCATCTGCAATGGGCGTGGGCGGGATATCAGGAAACGCAGCGCGAGCGTCCCTCATCATCCTTTCCAGCATGCGATCGGGTATGTCATAAATGCCCGCCGTTCCGCGAGGTCTGACCGGGACCTCTAACTTCTTTGTGGTTGTCATCCATTTGAGAGGCCGCAGGACCAAGTTCCGTATGAGATACGGGGCGATGAAAAAGAAAAGGATGAAAATGCCGACGAAGCGTAGCATGAGACGTCCGAAAGTGGGGATGAAGGACTGCACTAGGCGCAGGTCGTCCCATAGGGCGATCGTTTGCTTGTACATCCATGATGGAACGCGGTGAGACATGGTCACCGGGTACACGAACAGGATGAAAAAGGAGTCTCCTGCGGCAGAGTAGATGTCGTGTCCGAGAGTCTTCACGAGGACGATGGGACGGAAGTGTGAGAGCATCCGAAGAGCGAATACAGCGATGAAAAGGCTTATGAAGAGGAATTTGGCGATGCGGAAGACTTTGCGCGGGGTATAGGGGCCAGAAAACATGCTCTTAACATTGGCCCAATTCTTCGCCTCAATTGCCGAGCAGGTTGGGCAGAAGCATGTCCCAGAGTAAGGGTGAGGGGCAAGGGGCGTCGTGCTGGCATCTTCATGATCATGAGAGCAGGAAGGAGAGGTTCTGCTAGAAGATCTATGCTGTAGAACTATTGGTCATTCGTTTGAAATCTTTTCGCATTCTGACTGACCATGTACGGTGGTGGCGGGTCGTCGTCGATTATATGCAAGGGCACTGGGTCAGGGGAGAAAGAAAACTAACGACTCCTGGTCAGCGGAAAATTCAGCATAGCTGGAAAATAATTACGTTAAATGGCTGTTCTCTTCCAGCTTGAAATCTCCTTCCAGGCATGTCGTAGTTTACAGGCTATGTCACTGCAAAGATTTTGTTCGGGTATGCTTGGACTCTAGTTCACGAGTCGTACATGTACACGGTCCCTGCGTAAACACAAAGAGTTTTTCACTGTGTCAACGCCTACTTTCATGACAAACTGAGCGCATATAGCTTCATACAGAGAGACGTACCTGTAGAAATCAGCCGTTCTCGCGTCGTGGTCGCGGTTAAGGGCATAGAGTCGCGCACCCGCGTTGTGATGTAGTGATGGGCGTTTGTGATTGGTGGCCGGACTATCGGCGCCGCCGCCGGCCTCGAGTCTCTCGAGACTGCTACGCTCACTGTCGTCCCTCTCCTTCACCTCTTACCTCTATGCCCTCCACGCCGCACTCATCTTGAATGGATGACTTGTACGGAAATGCCTGGGGTGAGCCATCGAAAACTGACCCAATCGCTTCTTCCTCGTCTTCGAAGCTATGGACTACTCCGAAACTACCGCTTAGCCCACACGAAGAGGTAGACTTGGCCGCTCCTTCGTGGGGCACAGGCACAGATGTCCGCTGGAACGAAACCTCTGAGGACACTCATGGCTTCTCTTGGTCGAACGCCGATCCCGATCTTGCGTGGGGTGCTAGCACATACCCTGAGACTGATACTCGACTTGACAGCGGGTACCAGACGACGGAAACGACTGAAGCGACCGCTGACGAAGAGACACGGGAAGATACAGAGGAAGATGTGAAGGCTGCCGAATCGTCACCCTCGGGCTCCCCGAAGTCGCTTTCCGCGACTCCGCCACTTTCTCCGTCCCCCGTAGACCGACAGGACACCCCAGTGGAGGAACCTCCCACCTCCGAAACGCGAACTTCAAGCCCGGAAGGAGATGCATTCGGGACATTTGCTACCCCGTTTGATTCATCTAGTAAACCGCTCTCCTCGGATATAACACCTGAACTTGAGCCGGACGCCTGGGGCTCTCCTTGGAGCGGAGGCGGAGGAGAGGGCGAAGAGTCAGAGTCCGCAAAAGTTGATGAGTGGGAGGCTGCAAGACAACAAAAAGAGAAGTTGGATAGGAAGATTGTAAGTGTCTGTTTTACGGCGCTCGTCGTTCGCTCACGCTGTTGTAGCCTCCTGAAGTGCTTGCAGGCATCCTAGCTCAGTGCGCCGAATACTGCCGTGAAGCTTGGCCTGACACGAAGGAAGACTCGTCGAATTCTTCAGACCCAGAATGGATGAGTACATGGCGGAACGGCATGGATAGTATCGAGGGCCTGTAAGTCGTCGTCGATTGTTCTGTTGAGCATGTACTGATATACTTCGCTAACGCGAATTTCTGACATGATGTCGTAGTGAAACGTTGATGCAATCCATTGTCCCAGACTTAACCCTTGAGCCACCCGTTCAGTTTACCAAGACCTCGATTGCAAAAAGTATGGCTACTGCC